ACCATTCCTTGAGGGCCACCAAAACCTCTGAAGGCAGTGTTCGAATGAATGTTTGTGATACACGCCTTACCAACGACACGGACATTAGGAATGTAATAGCAATTATCGCTATGGGACATGGCACGCTCGACAACAGCCATGGTTAAGTCGGCAGACCAACCTGCATTGGCGTAGAGTTGGATGTCTAGTGCTTGAATTTTACCATCCTTGTTGACACCAACTTTCCATTTACCCAAGAAAGGATGTCTTTGGCCGGTTAACTGCATATCTTCATCACGGTCGAGCATACAACGGACGGGCTTGCCAAGGTGATGAGCAGCAACAGCCAATGGTGCTGTTAACATTACAGTTCGGCTCTCTTTACCACCAAAGCCACCGCCAAGACGTTTGGTACGAACAGTAATTCTGTTGTCGGAGCAACCCAGGACTTTAGCCACTACATGCTGAGTTTCAGTAGGATTCTGTGTACTGCTGAAAATCTCCATTTCAGTGTCCTCTTTTGGCACGACAATACAAGCATTAGTCTCAAGATAGAAGTGCTCTTGGCCACCAACTCTTGATTCGCCTTCGAATATATGGTCACACTCGGCAAAGGCTTTATCCACATCACCTCGAGTGATATCTCTGTCGGCTGGAACGTACGACTCCTTCTCGATAGCCTCATCAATGGTAAGAATGTGTGGAAGCTCTTCATACTCTACGTGTACCATTCTAGCGGCAGCTTGTGCTGCATTCTGAGTATGCGCAACAATAATACCAATCACTTGACCCAAGAAGTGGACCTCATCAGTGGCGAAAATCTCTTCGTCTTGGAAGGTAGGTCCCCAAGTGTTGGAACCGGGAACATCTTTGGCGGAGTAGAAGGCCACAACTCCATCTGCCTCTTCAGCCATGCTAGAATCAACCTTGACAATCTTGGCATGGGCCTTCTTGGAAGTTACAACTGCCCCGTAGAGCTCTCCTCTATATGAAGGCATATCATCCACATAGATAGCCTCTCCAGTGACTTGCTTAACGGCGCTTAAGTGAGCAACATTCTTTCCGACGATGGATTCGGGACGTGTAGGCATCGATTGCGATGCTTGTGAGACAGCACGTTCAATGTCTTTCAACTCGTTGGCAAACTTGGCTTCAGGAATATCAAGTCCCAACTTCTCCGAAATGAAGCACCAAAACTTATAGAAGAAACTGGAGGCCAATGCTTTGCGATACTCCGCCATGCCTCCTGGAGAAGAATATTGGATTGGAAGATCATATCCGAGCCGATTGACGACCTCCAAATAATCTTCACGGTATCCCCACTCCTTGCCAATCAAAAATTCTGTGGCAGAAGCGGTTTGCAACGTGGTAGGGCCCATGCCACCAAAAGCGAAAACGGAATCCTGGACTATGAACTTGCCGTCTTTCTTCTCAAACTTGACTCGTAAACCACCGTTGACAATAGCGATATCATCATCCTTTCTTTTTGCTTGTTTGAATGATTGGGTAAACTCGTATTCGGATGTGAAGGGGATCGATAGGGAAACCACAACCTCTCCTGGACGAAGTGCGGTTTTGCGGTAACCAAGGAAAAATTCAGTCATCTTGATTGATCTTAAACCACCATCCTTTGATGCAACCACCATCACTGCACGAGATGCAACGAATACTGGATTCAAATCGGAGATTGGAGAAGCGGTAACAATGTTTCCAGCGATCGTACCGACGTTTCGGATTTGCCGGCCAGCAAACCAACGTAGATTGCTAAGATAAGCCTTGAAGTTTTCGGTTTTTGAGGGTTCGTACTTGTCTACTGCTTGCTTCAATACATGTTCGAAAGTAGACAAGGTGACATTGGCACCGAAAGTGATCCCATCATCTGTATATTCGACTTTCTTGAGCTCTTTAATGTCTCCAACGTAGATCATGACGGGGTAATAAATATGCTTGAACTTGATTTCAATTCCGACCTCCGAGTTACCAGCGATAATTTTCGCGTCAGGATATTCGGCTTTGAGTTGTAGAAGTTCTTCAAGCTCAAGGGGACGATACCATTTGTACTTGTTGTTGGAAAAAGCCAAAGGTCGAAGGCCGTTATTGGCATCCTTTTCAGCGTGAGCATATTTAATCAAGGCTGGTGGAAAGATCAGTTCTTGAGAAGGATCGTACTTCTTGAGCCTCACCGGCTCGAACTTATCAGCAGTCACCGAGTTGCTAAGCTCTTGATCAATGTTTTTCTTGTCTTGGCAACAACCTCCCGCTCTGCCACATCCTGTGACCTCCTCTTGGGATACCGCAGGGCTCTCATCTTTGCAACAGCCACCGGTGTTAGATTTTCCACCGCAACAGCCACCAGAAGGGATGGCAAATGTTTTTGCAGCATCCAGAATAGGTCTGTATCCAGTACAACGGCAAAGATTTCCGTCGAATGCTTCCTCGATCTCATGTTCGGTAGGATTGGGATTGTTCCTTAATAGTGCGTATAGCGACATGACAATGCCAGGAGTACAGAAACCACATTGAGAACCGTGACTCCATGCGATTCTTTCCTGGACTGGGTGAGGGTTTTTCGAGTTACCAAGGCCTTCAACAGTTATCACATGCTTCCCATCCATGGCACAAAGAGGAGCTAGGCATGCGTTGACAGATGTGTGGGAAATTTTGCGAGTGTCGGAATCATAGGAGGAAACCAATAGTGTGCAGGCGCCTAAATCAAACAGACTATTAGCATGTCACACTTACATAGTCAGTTATGCAAAGATTAGCCAACTTACCACAACCACCTTCACCGCAACCGAGTTTGGTACCCGTCAAACCAGCATGACGAAGGTATTGAAGTAGAGTCATTTCCGGATCTGGGTTTTTGAGGACGACACGGGTTCCATTGACATAAAACGTCAAGGTATCAGAATAGCTTTGCACACTCATGCTGCTTTAAGAGGATGCTCGAAAATGGGAAATGTTATGCGAATTAAATGAAATGAATGTATAAAAAACAGGGTGGAAAAGGGCAGTAAAGTGAAGTTGTGGGGAAGGGCTTCAGAATTTATATAGGGGAGCTGAGCGTTAGTCACGTTACATGAGCAACCTATATTTCTCCACATCATTGAAATATACGGTGGTGTCGCTCGAGTGAATGCAGCCATACATGGAAACACCCACAATGCAACCAAATAGGCACAGAGCTCCACGCAGTTGAACGGTACCAATTGGAGCAAGAGAGGTGGAATTTTCATCAGTGAAACCACCACCACCATCATATGTGCAGTGCAAGGTCCCAGTTAGGAAGGAACTCCCATGTCTTAGGGATAATTATGTGATCACCAATGTACAGAAGCCTACTTATTACAGATGCACTGTGACTTGAGCTCACAAACTGAAAAGTAATCCCGAGATTATCTCCTTTGACTCCCTAATCGGCCAAATCGGGCGCAACGATGTTATTTTGGAGGAGCCATCAGCCATGTATTAGAAGCTAAATCACGGACTCGATGGATTTCATAGGCTCACAGCACAAGTAGTGACACACCATCGCATCTCGATTGGCCACCTTCCATTAAAGTGGTTCCCACACACAAATATGGCTGTTTCACATTCGCTCACTGCGACTTGACCTCCTGTCACCTTTGTCTATTCCCAGGAATAGCCACCATATATCGAGTGCTGAATAGCTGGTGGTTTTGAGAGCTGCGTCCCCAGGCAGAATATTATGCTGCTTCTAACCATTTACATGTATTGGGGTTGAGGTGATGATCGGGGGACCATTGGTGGGGGTTGATTAATCAAGCATTCTCCAGAGAGATGAGGAAATTCCATCGTCGTAATACTGGTGTAAACTGTTCCTAGTTGGACCATACATCAATAAGTGCTGTTCAATCGGTAGTTCTTGATCTTGTAATTCCGGATTTCCGAGGTGTAACTAGATTGATATAAAAAATCTCGGGCTGGACAAGATGAGCTTGAGTTTACCACTGAGGGTTGGTCTTAAGCCGGATACCTTCTCTACCAACAATGAATGTCCCTAGTCTCGACTCGGTAACACCAGCTTATACCACTATACCACTTTTCATACGCTTTTTCTAAGTTCTCTTCCTATAGATTACTCTGAAGAACATCCGTTCGCAAGTCCCTCAAGCCTATACACTTACGCAGAGGGATATATCCCGTTTCTGGTATGCAAACAAGGGACATTTCAAGGATACTTGTAAGAGCCTGTCCGAAACTATGGTAACTATGGGTTTTTCAATACCCATCTTTGTGGACTTCTAATCACCTTCCTCTCGAATAGCATTGGCGCCAGGAATTCAACTACGATAACATCCTTGAAGAAGACTTCTCGGATCTTGTCAAGACACGAAAGGTTTTCTTTCATGGAAACGCCAAAGATGGGACCCCAGTATTAGTATGGAGAAGCTGCAAACATTTCGCAAATCCCGAAGAACGCGAGCGGGAAAAACGCTTTTACGTATGGATTTTGGCCAAGGCCGAGAAAGAGGGGCTACTACCGGAAAAGGTGACCATTGTGTATGACCGTACCGGAGCAACCCACGCCAACGCAGACCTGGGACTCGCCAAGGAAGTTTTCCCACTTTTCCAACACCACTTCCCGGAACGCTTGAAGAATGTGTTTGTTTTTCCGTCATCCTTCTTGCTAAGCTCGCTATGGTACTGTGTTCGACCATTTATCGATACTGTAACTGCTCAAAAAGTACACATTTGGAAAGAGAATGAGTACCAATCGAAAATTTTGGAGTATATTGATACCGAAAACTTGCTAGAAAGATTTGGAGGTACCGGTGTCGAGTCAACTGGTACTTCCATTGGTACTGAAACTGTGAAAATTATCCACCCACATCCGCCAGAAACCCGCTGTAAACTAGAGGACCACGTTGCCACCCCTAGCCCAACTGAAGTGTTATAACACCTTTTGATCATCCAACAACTTGATGTATTTTTATATTTAATAATCATTATCTCTGATTTCTATCATGGGTCGTACTTGAATATTCTCCAATAGAATCAGACTCCATCGAGAATTGAACTCGAACTACGAATCCCTGTTTAGGGGCTTCGTGTGCAAACCATTACACTATGGAATCATTAATGTATGTGTGCCAATAAAGCATTAACCACGGACATAAACGTCAGCGTAGCCGTATGCTTGAAGGCCGAGTTTGTACCCAAGTTCTTTACACATCGATGAGTGGGAAGGTTCATGACGTGCCTTTAGCATGGGATTGCTCTTTAAGAATACTGAGCTGCGTTACTGGTTTCTATCCAGCGACAACAAGACAACAGACGGGACTTCATGTTACATTCATACTTTATTCTACAATCTAAAAGTGTCCGTTAGCTTCGAGTTGGGTTTACAATAAAAGTAACAAACTTACCTATTTACAGCAAGCAATAAGAGTCAAGTACAATGAAACATAACGAACTGGTGTCATATTTATCTATCTGATCCCGTGACAAAGGGTGGCTTTTTTTCTGCAGAAGGAACGCCATTGGACAACCCCCCTGGACAAAAGCCACCAATCGGATGAAGGAAAGATGAGATATACGTGAAGAGTATGCATTGGGAATGGCTGGATGTGACGCGTGGTATATTGTTACGTGTCTGACATCAATTTTGTTTAAAGGTTGTCATGGTAGTGAAAGTCAAAATGTTAGCTTAAGATCTGAGGTGTATTGGCGAGCCGCGATGAATTAGAAGAAATATATAGAGATGACGGGTAGAGGTTACTTGTATACATAGTATATCAAAAAAGGTATCTTGGAAAAGTAGCGCAGCTACTTGAGGGAATACGGTGACGAGGTCTAATGGGTTTTCATTTGGTTGGATAATTAATGGCCGAGCGGGTGTCTGTGCGTAGAGGGCGTAAGGTATTGGTGCCAGAAATACTAGCCGTCCGAACTACTCGCTTGATAAAATTACTTCGCGAACAGTCATGAGAATCCAAGCGGTGCAAGTCTTGAACCTCCTGACGTAGTTGCTCATAATCAGTTTTCATCGCTTGACGTACATATTCCTCAGATGCCTCGTCTTCAGTAAGTCCCAGGTTGTTCAGGTGTTGTCCAAAGAGTTCATTCTCTTGATCTATGTTATACAGGCTTTCAGCTACTAATTGCTGACGAAGGAGTATGTTTTGGGTGATTAATGATTCTAAACCGAGGTCATTACCAAAGAACCTACGAAGTTTTGACAGCTTCTTTTGACGAGTTGCTTTGTTTTGTCCATCACAAACCTGGCTGTTTTCATCCTCGGATAATTCCTCACAGCTATCCGATGCATCCTCAGGTGACGCTCCAGCGGCTGCTGGCTTGTCTTTGATTGTAGACAGGAGTTTAAGATAATGCATCAGATCTTCAACCGAACTCTCAGAGTCCAACAAGTAGGATACGATGGAGGTACGCTTTTGTAGAGGAATCTCGGTTTCTTTGTTGACCTTGATGAACTCCTTGGGAGGATGATGCCCAAATACCTTTTCCAACTTGTTTGCCCGTTTTACTTGCAACTTTCGAACCTCGGGTGGTGCAGTTTTGACATTTCGTTGAATCATACTCTCTTGGCACTGTTTATTCGGTGAAGAGCCCTTGTCAATCTGGTTGGGTGATGGATATACACCTAGTAGTTGATGGAGCTTGATCAATTTCTTCCGCTTAATCTCTTTTGAATTACTTTTCACACAAAGCTCTTGGGTTGTCAGATCTTTTTCCAGCTCTTCAGGTTCAGAACCAATCGGTTTGTAGGATTCATCAGGATTCTGCGTAGTGGCACTGGCTAGCTTATTAGCAATTATTGGGTTTGTTAACGATTTGGACACCAGCTGCTCATCCATCGGCTCACCAAAGAGAAGCTTTAATTTCCGTGTACGCTTGGCAAGCAATCGGCGCTCTTCTGGAGAAAGATCATTGTAGGTAGTCAGAGGGTACAGTGGGAAGGGCTCGACCGTTTCATGTGAGTTCCGAGTATCGAAGTCATCCTCCGGGTTGACCAAGTTTTGATGAGCAAGCTGGGTTGAAGAGAGCTTTTTCCCAAAAAAGTCCTCTAGCTTTCCTAGTCTTTCAATCTTCTTCTTCTTGACTATTCCCTCGGCATTTATCGAGGGGATGGGGTCATGCGAGCGTTCGAGATCCTCCATTGGGATTCGCTGGAAAGGTAGTAGCTCATTAATGATACGCTGGATGCTCTCTTTTTCTGCAGATCTCCGGCCCATTAACTTGGCCAACCTTTTCTTCAATAGGGCTCCCTTTGGACTTTGCCCATTGCTGCCCAGTCTTGATTTGGTGAAATATGGGCGCATGGGAATATGAGTGAACATCTGATTCATAACCGATTCCAGTATATGGTCTCTCTCCTGTGCCGCATTATGCATATCCAGTTGATTCTCATGGTATTTGCTTATGGTATCCATCACATTAGCCACAGTCCCGATATCGAATTGCAGCCACTTGGTAATCGACTCGCTGATATATGCTTGCTCAAAATTGGCGCGGTCTTGGGGAGTAAATCACATTAGCATAGTGACATGGTTAGTTCACGGGAAGCGGCCACTTACCCACAGCCTGGTCATTTACGAGCTTCACGTACAGTTCGCTGGCTTCGAACTGGGGAAGGACATGATGCACCAGTAGATCGAAAACGTATTCCTGTGCCTCATCAAACATAGTCAAATTGGGTAGATATTCTGGGGACTGGGCTGGTAGCAGAATAGTACTTCTGATTTCCTCGGGGATGTTGATGCGCAACGGGCCGTCGCTGTCGATGTAAACCCTGTAAAGATATTCAGCAATCACCAGAACTAAGGATGACTTCGTGCTTCTGTACACCTCCACTTCTACCCAGAAGAGTAGACTTTCAATACAGTGTTCTTGTAAACAGAATTGTCTGAAATAATTGAGGCAGATCTTGTTGTGAAAGATATTCTGGAATCTGACTTCGGCAGAGTTGGATGCTGGCTCTCTGAGTGGTATAGTGTTTGCGTGCTGAGCTGCCAGTGGCATGTCAATTCGTATTTCATCTAAGAAGGTGCCGTCTGGCCGTACATGGTCGAGTGGGCTGGACCATCTTCGAGGGTCGCTGTGGCCTATCCCACCTGCTTCATTCATCAAAGCCATTTCTAATAGAGGATCTTAGTTGGTTGCGACCTCAGGCCAAAGAATAACGACTGTACCTTCATAGATGTTCACCGCACGGATAATATCATCCTTGTCCAAGACATCCCCAACACTATCTGAAAAACGTAACTCCTCTTTACCCAGGAATATGGCGCCACAGATAAGAGGCTTGACGTTGCCTTCGTCTTCCTCCAGTACATGTTCAGGTCCCAAAAGCTCAGACTCGGTCAAATCTTCCATCAACTCTTTGTCCAGTAGCTGTTTCAAGCTTTGGGTGGATTCTCGCACACAGTCCAAACTGCCTGCAAGGGTGGGAGTGCACAGATAGTTAAACGCGTATTCCGCCTCGATTAGCCTAGAGAGCTCCTCCACCGTACTGGATCGGGATACAGTTACTGGGAAGTAATGATTCAATGACACAAAGGCGGTAACTCTGATGTACGACTCTATATGCTCAAATGCCCTCTGATTACGGGCTGCTTGAATTCTCAACCGACGTGCCTGACGAGAGAACGGGTTCAAATGAGCAACGGCCCCTTGCTGAGAATCCTCGGATAAACCTAGATCGGGTAAAACTGAATGCCGGCAAGAGGGCTTATTGCTGTTTTTCTGGACTAAGTTGGGTGGAAACCCTATCTCACAAGGAATCCTAGGGGATCTTGGTGTAGCTGTCTTCAAGCTCATTCAAGATGATAGGGATAGCGTGATTGAAGAGGGCAGTTTGAGTACGGGCGAGTGTGTGATCTAGTACTCGGAGGGGTTGAGATCGAATTATTAAGCTTTAAAAGCATTCTTGCGCACCTCGTGGACGGCTTTTATAGCAACCGTAAAGGGGCGAGATACTCGGAGGAATGTCTAGAAAGTCAGGTCGAAATCTATAGGAACAATAGAATTATGTGCCTTGGACTGTGATCATAGTTACACATTGAGCTCACCAAATTTAATTTAGTAATAAACTTGGTACGGACGATGCACCTCTTACGCTTGAAATAGGTCAGCCCCCGTCGTACCACCAACTCCGGTTGGACGAGGTTAGATTAGACGGACAATATCAAGCAGCTAATGAGCAAGTTTGTATTTCCAGATCGTGACATGGAGCAGAATATGTATTGTCCTTTTCGGCCAAGTATTGTGATATACTGAGGTCATATATATGGCAATCCAGACGAGAAGCCCGTTTGTCTTATGGCTTAGACACAATTTTTAACTAATCTAACTTTCTATGCAATTGTAATGGATCCTGTAGAATTCATGTATTGACGTATCAACTTCTTTGCCATTCACGTTGATACCTTCATGCACAACTGTACATAAACAAACATCATGACGATCCTTCAAGCCCGTCTAAATCAGCTAGCCAAGAAACTGGATTTCGGTGCAGCTTCCATACGTAAGATATGTATTGGAGGTAGGGTTCATTACCAACAGGATGGAGTCTGACTTCTCTCTTGTTGATAGCCTCCTTTCAGCATCAATAACCAGCTCCCACATGAATGCATCCGGAATGATGGAGAATAGTAATAGGATCTAGGTAATGTAATAAATGCTTCCCGTCTTTGAGCCGAATGGGTGCCACTGCAGCTCTTTTAGGATAAAATGGTCTGTTCAGTGGAGAGTGCATCGAAGTTCTAGATCATCATAAAGACTGGAGGCCATTTGAGCTATGGTCTTGTAGTGATACGAGCTAAAGTGAGAATGTATTAGCTCTCAGTGATCACGCACAAACGAATGTGTCATACATTCATCGAGAATCCCCGAGATATCTGATGTTGAGCTATAATCAGGGATCCTGCAAGAATCATGTGGTATGCAATCGGCTATTCTGTTGGTTACCGAAATAAGAGGGGTTGGGCCCTTAGGAACTGGAGCCCTGGTCTAATCAAATCAACCTTGCTCAAATTACTCGTTTAAGCTGCTCTACAAAACCTAGTTCCAGAACATATAATTAGAGAATGGTGGTTCGGGGAAGTCAGTTTTATTG